CCAGAGTAACCTTTTGTCTACAATTAAATATTCTAGCATAAATATAAAAGAAAATCAGAGATGGGAAAGATTGACTCACGAGAGATTGGAGAGGTAGATTCGCACGGTGATAGTGCGAGCAGCTTGCTTCTAATTAAATATGCGGCTGAGTCTCCAAGCATTTGCTTTCAGCCGCAGAGAGAAGAAGCTGCCCAAGAATGGGAAGGAAGGAATATATCACATCATCTGCCTGTCCACAGGCTTTCCTTTGGGCTTATGGAGGTATTTCAGCATTTTTATATTGGCGTTTTTCACGGGAGACAGAGGTGAACTCTCGAGGGCAGTAAGGCAGCAATCTTGAAAGTTTGGGCTTCCTTGTTTGTCGAGTAATTTGACTTTAACAGTTTGTGTTATTCTAGAAGGGCTTTAAAACCAAGGGGTTTGTTTCAGTATTTTGGTGGCTGGGGTGCTGATCTCAGGGCTCGTGTCACGATTTTAGCGATCTTTCTCTCTTATTGTCACAGGTTGTCATTGGCATATTTACTGATAATTTTTTTCCTGTCCTACTTCAGTTTGTACAATTCTATAGTGCATTTTTTTAATTTGTTTACTATGAACTGAGAACTCAGAAGGTAAAATTCAAGAATCTTTGGCGTTTCTGCTAAAATGTATTTTAGAAAATGATAAGGTTTGCAGTCGGAGTCTTAGCTTTATTTATATTCATAAGCCTTTCATCTTTATACATACTCATGGTATTTTCAGCGGAGTACTTAAATGTGGCACTTATAAAATGCTGATGACATAAAATACGGCTGATCCTCTTAGGGTTTGCTGCTTACACTGAAAATGTTAGAAAATAATAGGAACAGAAATTTCTTTAGTTAAAAACTCTACCTTGCTATTTCACATTCTAATGTTTATTGAAATAATTCGGAGTACTTTTTGTAACTTTGGGTGTTCTTTCTCAATCTGAACTTTTCTGATTTGGAAGGATTAATGTAGTAGGAATTCACAGTGAGCGTTTGGAAGAAATAAAAGCACTTGAAAGGCTTTAGTTGTTAATTTAGCAGTACGTGAACCTGCTCGTCTCCTGTTTTACGTATTGCCAGTGGAACACTTCCGTTTGGAATTGTGCCACTACCACTTTAATCTACATCTACATTTATTGTTTGGAAGCTAAATGACAGTGTTTTGGAGCACTAAAAAAAAAGAAAAAAAAAGAAAAAGCTCAGCTGATATCAATTTACTCTGTGATAACTTCATGGTAGCTCTTTGTTACAAAGGTGGCATTTGGCAGGTTTCATTTGGTCTTGCTTTAGTGAAAGGAAAAGGAAGGTAGAGAAGAGATGAGCACAGATTGTACAGGTAAAAGAGTGCAACAGACATGCATGTTGTTTAGAGATGTATGTAGTGCTTCCATATTTTAATTGGAGGTTCTGATTTCATGTTGTAAGTATGCTGAGTAAGTCTGTATTAGATCAACAGTAGTAAAAATGCTGATTTTACATTAATTAGAAGAGTTGAGGAAAATGAAGATGTGGCGGTATATGAAACAGAAGCATTACATTAATGTGAGGAAGCATCCTCAGATGACGTGTCAGTGAGTTTCCACTGCATTTTTAACTGTTCTATTTACAGATGAAGAAGAAGAAATTCTTGAGTTTGTGCGTCCTTAGACTAGCAAAAGATAAGTTTTGCATTTTACTAGTCATAACATTTTAGAATTCAAGAGAATTATGGTATTGAAGACCACTGAAATGATCTGACTTTTAAATCCTCTAAATCTACCTCCATTTATTCACTTTACTCTAAAAATAAATCTCTCAAGCTCGAAAGGGATGAAATATTTTCTTTTGAATATACATGTGCACCTACACACATGTACCTGGGGAGCACAGATATCTTCAAAATTGGATGTAAAGCTGGAGGAATCTTAAAAGACTTTGTTTATTATTTTTTGATTGATGAAGGCAGAAATGCATTAGGTTAAACAACAGTAATGATCTGTTTTCTCTTCTGACTGGAATTACATAATGATATTCTACTGTTTCTTGAGGTGATGTGGGGTTTTTTATTCCTATTTACTATAAATGCAGTGAGAGCATAAAAGTGTGCTGACAGCTTTTTTTTGTTTGTTTGTTTGTTTTGTTTTGTTTTCCACACCCAAATTGTTTTGCTAATGAAGATTATCTTGATTTAAAGTACCAACTGCAGGGAAGGCACAAGCGGCTTCAGCTGCAGGTAGGCTACCTGACAGATGTGCTAATAGAACTTGTGAAAGAAAGTACCTGGAAACCATATGTGATACAAACTGTACTAAATCTGCTAGGTTAGCTGGGTTTAGAGACTGTTATCTGCAGGTGTGTTTTTCTCATTTTCCTGTGCATAAGTGGGCATATACATGTTGTATATGTCCAGTACAATACCAAATATTCACAGCCGTCAGCGAGCCTACTTTTATGCCTTAGTTTCTGTAAACGAGATGCACAGAAAAAGTATTTTGAACATTTTTGCACTCAAA